TTTAGCTAATACACTATCATCAATATATTCATATTATTGTATAATGAAAATAAGATTTTCAGTGAAAGAGCAAGATTGGGCTTAGCCTAAAAGTACAAGTTGAACATTAGTGACTAGGATCAGTGGGGAGATCTGTAGAGGAGAAGCGTCGCCACAGCCAGTGGCAGATCCCCCCCTAAACTGACAGAGCTGGCTTCTAGGGGAAGAGTCCTGCTGAGAAAGGTGCAGTGGTCAGTTCTCAGCAACAAATAAGAGGGAGTTCTAAAGCCTGATCCCCACACAAGGGGACAGGGGAGAACAGCAGATATGGGGACTCTTTCTAGAATTGGATTGTATAAGAACACAGTGGTCCTACAAGACACATTGTGCTTTAGCTACTTCAGGTTCTCATTTTGAATCTGAGCTACAGGGACGGAAGAAACTTGAGCTGTACTTGGTCTGTAGTTGGGAGACATTGTTCATGTGAACTAGGATACAGTATCTTTTATGGCCTCATCATATTGTGCCTCACTTGAGAAGTGTTGCTTATCCCTTTATCAATATTTTTTTCTTAAATTATGTTCTGCATGTCATACTATGTTGTATTTGTTTTCAGGTGCACAATTCATGTGGAATACATATTTTAGAGAGGTGCAGTTAAACATAAATTTGATAGCTCCAGATGAATTTCAAGGACTTTTGACTAAAAACAGCTCCCTCCCCTATGTACAGGTTGAGTTTTAATTTCTCTGCTTTCTAGGTCATCAGGTACTTTTTCTTTGTAGAAACCTTACATCATCTTAATGAGACTTCAATTAACACAAAAAAATATTCTGTAAACAGCAGTGGTCCCTAGGAGCAAGTCATCTTAATAAACTTCTCTAGTTTCAAAAGCACTGGGTCCCTACTTAGCACATTTGGAGTGGATTTCATTACAGGGCTGGATTCCTCTTTTACCTGCCCATTTTTTTTCTTTTTTCTTTTTCTTTTTTTTTCTGTATTTTAGGGAAGGGTCTACACGGTGTTCAGGGTCTCACTACTAGATCTGACTCTTAGTGATCCGTCTGTTTACAGCCTCCCAGTTGCAATTGCCATCTCAGTGCACTGTAGGGGCGGGGCCAGCAGGGCAGGCCCAGGGATCGAACTCCTGGCTTCTGAGCCTGTTTGCAGGTGCTTTAATCCACTGAGCTATTTGGCATACCTCCCCATTTTCTTGATTGTGATGCTTGCGAACACAAGAAATACCAGGCACTTGTAGATCCATCCATGAGTATCTCCTGTACAACAGCAGATGCCTGCAGGAAGCCGTCCCTTCTGGCCCTACCTTCCCAGGGTGGCAGCACCAGTGAAGCTCAGGATCCAGCCTCCCTGTGACACCTCTGAGCCAAGAACAGCTGCTTCCTGCCAACAGCTAAGGTCTTACACAGCGCAGCTCTTTGGTGTCAGAACGAGTTTGCACAATTCTATTCCACTTGCAGACCAGCAACCTGTTACCCCTTTGACACATATGGTAATATTTATTCTTGCCTTTAAAGAATTACAACTTACAAAAATCATCAATCTAGATGAATATTTCTATTTCTTTTGGCACTATTGTTTCTTCTACTTTTGTTCGCGTATCATCCACAACCAAATTCGTATTTATGTTGTGTGTTCATGTCACTCATCTCTTAAAAGTTTGGCCAAAGTTATGTTTCCATGAATACTTTCATTTCTTTCCACTCTTTTAAGTATTACTCCTTACTGATGGAACAGGAAAGCCACTTCTTGCAAGACACAAAGCCTGATATTATATAATCTTTGTTGTACTGTTATTCAGCAATGTTCTCTCATGTATCTCTGATTCAAAAGGAGAAATTTAAAAAAATAAAAGAAGTGATTGATGGAGATTTTTTTTCTCTGAGCTCTAAGGAAATATTAATTCCCTCTTGTGCAAAAAGAATCTATGGACATTGTGATCATAGTGCA